CAGGTGCCCGCGAGCCCGGGCCCTGGCAGCCCCTCCCCGGCCCACAGAGTCTACGGTGCGGCCAGGGACACACGGGCTCGGGCGAACGGGGACTCGGGGCTCCGCAGCGCGGGATTGTGGCAGGAAAAGTTTCCCCAAACGCCGGAGGCGACGAGGTTTGGAACACCACCATCTGCGCGCGGGCGACGAGGAGGCGCGGGAAGAGCCTGGACGCAGGAGCCTCCTCGTTATGGTCAGCTCTCCAGGTGGCCGCTGCAAGTGCCTCTCTTTCTCTGGGCCTCGGTTTCCCGATTTGTAGGGTCGGGTTCGGTTCGCGTGGGAAAGCTAGGAGCGCCCGGTAGAGAGCCGCGAGGCGCTCCCCTGCCCGCCTGCACGGTGGGCATCTAGAGCTCAAGCCAGGGACTCCAGGGAAACAACCGCCACACGCAGGAGAGTTTGGGGACCAGCGACTGTGCTGGCTCCCCTAATCCGGTAGTATTGAGGGACCCACCAGAGTCCTCGGGATGCCCTGGGCAGTACACCCCCAGAAAGTGTTTCCCTGGTGCTTAAAGGACCCTCTCCGCGAGGGACCCTGCATCACTTCTCAAAGAGGCATGCGGCGCAGACAGCTTTACCCACAGAGAACTGGACGAAGCCAATCCAGCCTGCCAATCCAGCCTGCCTCTCTGTCCGAACCGAGAGAAACCAGGCGCTCTATGGCCTGGGGGCCGCGCAGGGCTGCCCTCTTGTTCTTAGGGACCTGGCTAGTAGTCTGTGGCCTTGCCCTTCCTCTCACACTGGAAGATGACTGGCTCAAGTGTTGGGGATCGACTCCAGAGCCTGAACCCGGGTGCTGGACCCGAAGCAGGAACGTCTCAGAGACCCCCACCTCGCCCCAGAGGCTATTTTCCATGAGGGGTCATAGAACACTCTGCTCAAGGTCATGGCTGGATGGCTATGCCAGGAGGCCTGCTGTCTCTGGAAGGTTGTCCCATCTCTGTTCCCTGGGGGCCTCGCAGGGCAGGTCTGCAGAGTGAGAAAGCACTGCCCACCCCAGCCCTTGATATGCTATGCGGATGCCCAAGATGTTCCCTCTATCACCCAGTCGTGCCCTCATTCTGCAGTTTCCTTTTGATTTCTACTTTCCTTTGCATGATTTTCTCGGAAGCCATCACCGAACCTCCCAGGTAAAAGAAATAAGGGGAACCAACCCAAGCCCGCCGCGTTGAGTTGATTGAGTGTGCTAACTGAGCAACACTGCCTGACCTTCATCGTTCTGGAAGCGGGTTGCCAGTTCTCTCTTCATTGGCCACACCTGGTGGGTTCCAACCCCAATCTATCAGGTAGTTGAGCACACACAGTTTCTGTCACCCAGAGCCCAGTGATAAGGTGCACATTAATTCAAGCCACATAAACTGAGAGTACACACGGGGTGCTGTCACTGTAGTGTCTAATTCTCCCTAACAACTGAGCAGTACAAGTGCATGTTTTAGGAGCCCTTGTGCTCCTCCCAGCCTAAGTGGAAAGCCAGTGCCCGCTAAAAATAGCCTCCGCCCCAACTTATCAGGGCCTCACACCTTTCCCTCCCAGGGGAGGGGAGCAGGAGAGCTGCCCTGCCCAGCTGAGCTGGGAAAGCTAGTGGCAGCTCTGAGTAATGGGAGGGTGGGTTGACCTAGAGGTCAGGGCATCTGCTCCAGCCCAGCTCTGCCACCCCCTTCAGAATGACCTTGAGCAGTGAGGGGGTTAGGGTGGACAATGAAGTCTCTAGTGGATCTGGACTCAATGGGGTTTGGGGTTCCGTTAGGGAAACTTTCTAGAGTGAGTAAAATTCAGTGCCAGAATGGAATTCTGGGAAGCCCCGGGGAGAGCCAGCGGGGAGGAAAGATTAGCAGTGCTGCTTGCTGCAAAGAGAGGTGGGAAGGGGCCATTAGAACTGGCACTTTGGTCAACGGTGATGCTGGCCAGAGCCGTACCAGGGGGTTCAGGAAGGGAATCTCCTCTGGGGCTGGTGGACCGAGCTGTCTGAGCCTCAGTTTCCTCCTCTTTGCAATGGGGATAATAAGAAGACTCATTTCATATAGGTCATTGCGTAAGTGAGATGGTGCCAGGGAAGCCCTCAGCCTGGTACCTAGTGATGTCTTTATTCATGTCAGCAAGGGACAGAGGCAGAATCGGAGACAGCACACAAGTCTTTCCGAAAGCTTGGAGGAGACGGGAAGGGTCAGGGAAGGTGGGAGGAGCTGGAGACCAGGACCACGGAGAAGGACCCAGAAGAGGGGAACAGAGAGCCTACGGGCTGATTGTGCACCTGGGAGGTGTCCGAGGGACTTTCCTTCATCATCTGATGTCGCAGACCCTGGGATGGGGCTGAGCAAAGAAAGGGTAAACTGAAGCTATGCCAGCTCCGGCTCCTGTATCCTGTTGGCCAGCTCCAGTATCTGCAGAGAAGAATGATGATGGGCCGGGACCAGTGGTTTGACCCCCCGCCCGGGCCTCGTGACTTGCTTATTTCTGACATGACATCATCCATCGATGACTCTGCTGAGCTCAGTCACCATGGCCTTTTCCAGTCAATGTTTTGATTTTTTTTTTGGTCTTACTAATGGACCGGTCTGGCTGCCAACATGTCTCAAAAGGCAAATTCACTTTTCAGTGAAAGCCAGAACACCAGAGAGATCAATGACTTGGCTGCTAGACTCCCTAATCAGCTTAAACCCACAGGCCTGTTTGTATGGAGGAATCAGATTGCAGAACAATGGGCGTTGCCAGGCTCTTGTTTGTTTCAAACCCCTTTGGTTAATCAGGATAGTACCTGACACTCTGCTCTTGATAAGGAAAGAATGAGCTCATTGGCATAAACACAGGACGTGTCTGGGAGATTTTCTTCCGTGTCCAGAGGCTCTGGGTTCTGTCTGATCTGAGAAAACAAACACACGCCAAGCATTTCTTCGCCTTCTCTTACAGCCTTTTGTTTTTCTGTTGGCGAAAAGGTTTGTGAAAGAGCGGAACCCCACTGGCCAAGAGGAGAAAAGGGGGGAGAGGGAGGCCAGGTCTGCTCATGTGTCTCTGTTCATCTGCTTGGGGCCCCCCACCAGAGCCACTACTTACCCTGGGGCCTCTAGGGTCATGGGCCCAAGGTCCCTTCCTGGAGATGATTCTGGTGGGTGATAAACTGTGACTCCTGAGGTGCCCACTGCCCGTGCCCCGGGGAAACAAGGGGCGCAGAAATGTCTCTTGGCCCTAGGCAGCCATCTTCACAGACTCATCTGGTAAATATTGGTGCTACACTCTCTGTCCTCTTTCCACTCCACTCCACTCCCTCCTTACTGAGACTGAACCATCTCTCACTCACCATCAGCTCCCAGATCCCAAACCCAGCCTGCCCTGCTCTCCCCAGCTCTACTGATCTGTGACTCCTGCCCACTGGACAGAGCCAACAAAGTCCCAAAGGCACTTTAAACCCAACGGACCAGTCTTCCTCCTGCATGTCCTGCATTCTCAGTTCATAGTAAGAGCATTCTCTACGGCGCCCAGCCAGATGATTCCCTTCCCTTCGCTGTCAAATCTCCATCTGTAACATCTCTCCCACCTCCACTCCCACTGCCCTGAGTGAGCACTTTCCAGCCACCCTGTTTAAAGACCTGTCTGTCTCGTGACTTTGCTTTCTTCCAAAAGGAGTGTGCACAGAACATGACAGTGGGTGTGTGAGTTCTCCTCCTGCAGGGACTACCCATTTCCTGCTGGATAATGACCAGGTTCCTTAGCATGGAATACCGGGACCTGCAAAGATCAGGCCTGAAAATCGGTTCCTGGCATGGTCTCCAGCACCTCGCCACCTTCTGGCTGTGGGGTGAGCATGCAGTGTAGTATCGGGCACTCAACGTCCATCAGAAATCAAAGCACTTTCTAGGGGTGAATTGACTTCATTCAGGTGCACTCGGATCACCTGGGATCTTGTTTCAAATTCAAGAATTATCAATCACAGAATTCATAATCTGGGGCCAGTGCCTGAGGTTATATGTATTGCTAAGAAACTTGCTAACAGGTCTTGCTGCTTCTCTGCCTGGGCTGCTCTTCTCCCGTCTTGGCCTGGGGGACTTGTAACATCTTTGACACAGAGCTTCTCACTGCCTTCCCGTACTCCCACAGCCCCCTGTTCAGACTCAGAGCTCAGTCCCCGAGTGCTCTGAATCCAGTCATCAGCTTACAGTCAGCATCTCTGGCCAAACGAATGCTCCTTGTGAACAGGACCTACAGCTCATTTGCCTCCTGCTTTGCAAGTGTGTAGGAGCTCTGGTGGTGGGCGGTTCAGGCCCACCAACTACTCCGTGGCACAAAGAAAAGAGCAACATCCTCAGAAACCCTGTGGAGCGGGTCTTCTCTGCCCTAGGAGTGCTACCCTGTGTGTCCGCATCAGAATCGACTCAAAGGCAGTGGGGTTTGTCTTTGCTTTTTCGCAGGTGTCTACTCAGTGTTTTCTCCCTGTCACTCTGCCTTTGCCGGGTGCAGGTCCTTTAATTTTCATAAGCGCTGACAGTTGAACGAGTGAATGAGGAGTCAAAGAGTAAGCAAATGCAAACACTGTGATCATTACAACAATCTCACAATACCAGCCACCTCGTAGAGCACCATCTCCCTCCCACCAGACCCCTAGCTCCGTGAGAGTGGTCAGCCCAGCCTATTCTGCTCTCCCGGGCTCCCTAGCCCCACTAGCCCCCCTCACGTTAGGTGGCTCAGGAACGAGCCCCTCATCTCATATGAAGCTCATGGTCATCCTGTGAGGCAGGTATTATAACCCCCTTTTGCAAGTGAGATGATGAGCCCCATGGGAATGGTTCCAAGTCATCCAGTTGGGGCCCATGTTCTGGGAAACTCACAGTACTTTCTAGGGGTGGATTGAGTTCATTCAGGTGCACTCGGATCACCTGGGATCCTGTTTAAGATTCAGGAATTGTCAATCGCTGCATTCATAATCTGGGGTGGCGCCTGAGGTTAGGTATTGCTAGCAAACTGCCAGGCGTCGCTGAAGCTGCTGGTTGGAGATCTGTGGTCCCAGACCGGCGTGAGCACTAATCATCACAGAGTGTTTCTCTGGCCACTGTATTAAGATGGTGCTTTTTAACTCAGATGATCACTTAAGCCCTGATGCCATAATCGAGGGCGCTTCCTGGTCTATAATGTACTCAGAGCACTGATAACCTGAGTGCCCAAGAGTGCAGGGTGAGGATCCGGCCAGTACCATGGGTCCTGCCGGCATCAAAACCAT